CAAAAAAAAAAAAAAAAAAAAAGGCAGATGGGCAAGAAGTAGAGAGGTGGACAAGACCTACCAGACCCAAACTGAGCCCGTCTTCCAGAGGTAGTCAGAAGGGCTGAAAAGACAATCGACAAAATGAGGACCTTCTTTAATGTTGAATCCCATATTGTTTACTTTCATGTTTCTCTGTTACCAAGAGGGCTGGACGGATCAGGAGATTTCCTGACACTTCTGCTGAGCCCCCTCTGGCCTTGGGGACCACTTGGCTTGAGGACAGGCCTCTAAGTCTCACCAGCTTCAGCCAGAGTGAGTCTAGCTTTTCACTGATGATTAAAGGCATCTCAGGATGCACAGGTTGTCCAAGTGTACCAGGATGAGACACTACTTAAAGGGCTTCACTGTGGGCCTCTGGGGATCTCTCCAGCTAACTCTCCTCTTCTTCCTCCTGCTGTAGCGATGCCACTGGAGTGACATGTTCACAGGGAGACTGCGGTCCGAGATCCCGCCAGCCTTGGTAAGTGAACGAGCTGCTTCTCTTCCCCAGGCTCAGGGAACCCTCTGGTAGTTCCTAGGCAATTCTCATTCCTTGTTCTGTCTAGACACTGAGATAAGTCCCATAGTTGACTGAGATGCTGAAACAGAAGCTAGGCAAGCCCAACATGTGCCCCATGTCCTGACAGGTGGGAGCACAGGGAAAACGAGAGGGAGCCAGAGAGTGAAACTCAGATAGGAGGTATTGTGGCTGAGCCCAGCTTGCTTGGGGTTCCTCCTGAGCTGCATGATTTGGCTCACTGTGGATTTCACCCTGACATGATTGCTCTTGCTGTCCTGGCACCACCTCCCTGCACTCTGTGGTCTAGCTTCCTCATGACCTCAGTCTACACACAGCCCATGTGACTGTACCCATCTTTCTCTGGCCTCTTCCTTTCTCTGTACCTTTCTTTTTGCTTTGGTTCTCATCATGGGTGACTTCCTTCTGCCTCTGTTTTCCATTTCCCCAATCCTGGGACTCTGACTAGCTTGGGTCAAGTTTCTGGCCTCTGTAAGTGGGTGTGTGTGTGCATGGGCCTGTGTGTGTAGAAAGGGATTGGGGGCTGTCACAGAACTGAACAAGGCTTGCCTGGCCTTGGGGGAATGTGGGCAGGACTGGCAATAGGCAGTTTCTCGGTACATCTTTAGCATGTGGCAGGCCCTCAGGTGTGGGTTTTTGTTGATGATTAGTGTGCCTTTTGATATCATTGAGTCTCTTCACCCTGGTCATATTGGGATCTCCTCAGACCTTCATTCATCTAGCCAGCACCGAGGTTTCAGAGATGTTTATGCACCATGCTCACTTCCAAAAAGCCTTAGCCCAGCAAGCACCTTGGGGTTATCAGGCTCGGACTCAGTGGGTGCCTTAGTGATCCCAGAAGGAGAGTCCTTGTGTGAGGGATTGAAAGTTAGTAGAGTAGGTGCCCAGCCTTGAAGGGTAGACAAGACTAGGTGAGGTTTTGTTTTTTTTTTTTTTGAGTCGGAGTCTCACTCCATGGCTCAGGCTGGAGTGCACTGGCACACTTATGGCCACCCCAGCATTGACCTGCTGGGCTCCAGCAATCCTTCCACCTCAGCCTTCCAAGTAACCAGAACTACAGGAGTGCACTACCATGCCCAGCTAATTTTGATTTATTGTGGAGATGAGGTCTCTCCAAGTTGCCTGTGCTGGTCTCGAACCGCAGGCTCAGGCAATCCTCTCATCTCAGCCTTGCAAAGTGCTGGGATTATAGGCATGAGCCACTGTGCCCGGCCTTTTTTTTTTCTTTTAAAGAGACAGGGTCAGCCGGGCTCGGTTGCTCAGTCTGTAATCCCGTATCTTGGGAGGCTGAGGTGAGTGGATTGCCTGAGCCCGCGGGTTCGAGACCCACCTGGGCAACGTGGCGAGACCTCATCTCTACGATAAATCAAAAAATTAGCCGGGCGTGGTAGCACGTGCCTGTAGTTCCAGCTACTTGGAAGGCTGAGGCAGAAGGATCGCCGGAGCCCAGCAGGTTGAGGCTGCGGTGGCTGGGAGCAGCCACTGCACTCCAGTCTGGGTGACAGAGCGAGACTCCAAAAAAAAAGAGACAGGGTCTTGCTATGTTGCTGAGGCTGGTCTCAAACTCCTGGGCTCAAGTGAACCTCTCGCCTCAGCCTTCTGAGTAGCTGGAATTACAGACGTGACCCATCGTACCTGGTTTGTGAGGCTAGAACTTAGAATTTCGATTAAGTAAAATTTACTTGGGTGTAAAATAATTTGAAGTTAAAAGGAGGGTGAAGAAAACTTTCTTCTGCCTATAGTAGTTGCTATGAGATCTCACTGCAAATTATTTTCCCTAAATGTTAGCATTTAATTTCCTCAAACTCTTAGAAAGTATTATTTGTTTTGTTTTGTTTTTTCTTCACTAACTACTATACTGTATTCTTTTTTTTTTTTTTTTTGAGCCAGAGTCTCACTCTGCCACCCAGGCTGGTATGCATGGCAGCCTCAGCCTGCTGGACTCAGGCTTCCACCTCAGCTTTCCAAGTAGCTAGAGCCATAGGCACATGGTGGCACATCCAGCTAATTTTTTTTTTTTTTTTGAGTTGGAGTCTCACTCTGTCACCCAGACTG